ACAAACTTCACTTGGAACATGTGTATCAGAAGCAGGTAATGTTTCCAGGAATATAATCCATTTTATGCATATTTCCAATTTTGTCTATACAGAAATGCAAATTTTAAGTTCTGAAACCCCTAAAGTGCTAAATTTTGGAATCCAAGTATTTCACTGGGCTTGGAAAAAGGGGCAAATTCAAGGAAGATTTTAAGGACAGCTGTGTAAGTACAGAGATACTCTGATTCCAGGAACCTGTTGCCAAGTGATAGAGCCTGGGAAGGCATTCCCAAAATGTGCCACTGTAGGCCTGTCCTGGTTGTATGCATTGCTTTTGGTGCTCTTAGAGAAGAGATACTGAACTGAATGGAGTTTGGCTTGACCTGTTGTCAGTGTTATCTCTTCTTCCATACTTCTTTTCCCCAGTCTATCTCTATTCCATCCTGCTCCATGTGTTCTCTGTAGGTTGTCAACATGCATTGTTTTTACATCTGAAACTTAAGGTAAAAAAATGTAATTTTCATCAAAAACACTTCATCTTAAAGTGCTTTGCAAATACTGTCTGCTCTTTTAGACTTTAAACATCAATAGGTTTCAAATTAAACTTCAATTTTAGTGACATTGTATGTGCAGCTCACGTTCAGTCAGAGGTGCCTTCGAGTCCTGTTTAATTGAAAGGATGTTACTCAAACATGGCATTTCCAAATGTGGCAAATTTAGAACATAAAAAAATGGATTGTGATCTGAGCTACTTGTCACTGGGTAATAGCATTTGTGACATGAATTATAGTGAGTTTTTGGGCTGAGTTAGTCCCTTCTGCTGACTTGAAGTCAAACACTTTTTTTCATTCCAAGATCTGCTTTGGTTTAAACCTAGTCTGCAGTTGTCTTTTTAGTCAAGTCATGGGTTTTATGAACATTGACCTCAAGAAAAATCTAGGACTGGAATAATATTGCAGGTGAAAATAAAAATATATTAGCATAATTTAGATATATTTGGATATTTGGATATATTGGACTTTGAGGGTCCTAGTGGGTCCTTCCAGCTCAGGGTGTTCTATGATTCCAAGTCCAAATGCATCAAATGCCTGACATTTATGCTCTTAAACTTGTGTATTGCCCTTCTTCAGTGGTTCCTGTCCTGTGGGAATCTTGAATGAGGCTGGAGGATCATTTGGGAGCCCAGAGAGTGAGGCTGGAAGTCTGTGGCAGGAAACAAGGAAGCAGACCCTGTATTTTTATAGATAACTTTACAGCAGTTTGCCTGTTCATAAATTCTGATGTAATTGTGTTTTCTAAATCAAATCTTGGAGAAAGGAGGAGGAAAAAACCCCAACATGTGAATAATCTATGGACATAAATCCATAAAACAGGATATATAGACCCATAAAATGCTAAACCAAGCTTGCCTTCAAGCAAAGGACTCAGCAGGTCTCTGGTGCAATTTGTTCACTTGAGAATCTCCACATTATCTGCTAATCTTTATGAGTCTACAGTGGCTGTTGCCTGTGAGGATACTTGAACATCAAACAAATGATAGGTAGTAACCCTAAAAGTCACTGTGTGATTAAATGTGCTTATCTGCTGCATCAGGAACCAGTTATGCCCAATGGCTTTACAAGCCAAGGAAACACCTGCTTTTTATAAATAATCTACAGCTTGTTTCCCAAACATTCAGCTCAGCATAGGGACAGGGACAGATTATTCCTGAGAGCCATTCCCAAGTCAGCTGTTAAATATATGGGATTTTACCAGGTTTGGCAATAGCTTCTTTACCCTCTGATGGACAGACTGTAGGTTTGAAGGCTCTTGGTTGGACTTGATGAACTTGGAGGTCTTTTCCAACCTGGTTGAAATATCTCTATTGGCTACATCTCATCCTTCATCTCAGTTTACCTTTTTGCATTGTGGGTCATTTTGAAATCTATAGATGGTTTTCTACATCAATGCAAAAGAAATAGTTTTTGTCATTTAAAATCATGTTTATTTATGTATTTATTTAGTCAACTGACTTTCTTGTAGCTAAAATGTGCTGATTATTGTTTTTCCATCAAATGGCAGATTGATGGCATCCAGAGTGATCTTGATAAAGAAAGAGGAGATGCTAAAAAGATAATTCACAAGCTGGAAGAGACTTTGAAGTAAGTGAATGTGCTGAATTGTTGAACCATCCCTAATATTTTAGTTGAATTTATTAAGTAAGCTTATGCTTTGTCTCATCTCACTGCTTGCCAATAGTTGGGTTGTGCTCTCTTCCCATTGTAAACTTGAATCCTCAGAGTTCTAATCAGCCAGAAAAACGAAAACAGTAAAGCAAAAAACAAATCACCCAAATTTGTTGACTTTTAAGTGTTGGGACGGTGGAGGTTAGTGATGTCAGCTGGTCTTGCCCTCTCAAATAACTGGAACCAGGTTCCATCCACAATAGATGCACAGAAGGCAGTTGTGCTCTCTTCCCATTGTAAACTTGAATCCTCAGAGTTCTAATCAGCCAGAAAAACGAAAACAGTAAAGCAAAAAACAAATCACCCAAATTTGTTGACTTTTAAGTGTTGGGACGGTGGAGGTTAGTGATGTCAGCTGGTCTTGCCCTCTCAAATAACTGGAACCAGGTTCCATCCACAATAGATGCACAGAAGGCAAATAATCCACAGGTTCCATCCACAATAGATGCACAGATGCAATAATCCAAACTTGGACTGTTTTAGAAAAAGGGAGAAATTGGAAATATGTTTTTGCTTAATCTATTTTAACTTGATTTAGTCTATGGTGTTTCTGATTTTATATTGTAATAGACACAAATTGCAACTCCAATGTAGATCTTTCCTCTTTGATATCACACTCTTTTGTGGGTGTCCTTGTTTTTCAAATGGATGTAGGGCCTGGAGAAGTGGTTTGCAGCAAACAGAAGACACTTTGCATTGACTAACTTGAAACAGCTTCTTTTGCCAATCTTATCGATGACAAAACTAATCAGGGTGCAACAAGTTTGATGTTTTCTGACCAGGGGAGTGGTTTACACACAGCAGATGCACACAGGGCAAAATCTACTTTAGTGATGCTGCTTCCATTTTTGATTATGGAAAATATTATTTCCATATGCTTATCCAGTTTAAATTCGAAGGTATGGAAATAATTTCTAGGGAAAGCACATTATTCTGAAACAAACCAGGAGTTATTTGCTAAAACTATTCAGTTAAATGTTGCAATGTACCTTATCTAGGCTGAGAGAGGCAAGTGAAGATATTTTCATTCAATAACAGTCTCAGGGTTGAAGTCTGTATTCCTTTATTTCTCTAATCTCTGAGGTATTTGGCATAAATGGAGACTATCTTAAATCACTATAGACATTAATAAAACTCCAGCTTTTAATCTTGAAATTCTTTACCCTGACTATTATTTATAATTTAGGGGAGATTGAATCGTTATCAACTACACTTAATCTCTTACTATTTTACCATCTGATTTGTTGATAATGAAGTTGCATTAATTTTCCTCCACCTCTTTCAAATCATGTGTCAGTTTGCACTTACTTATGTTAATACAAGAAGTCTGACTTTGCAGTCCTGTGCCTGCTCAGGATTGATTCCCCCTGTGCTGCTCTCAGTGCAGGGTAAACACTCCAGGCAGGTAGCTGAGATGTGGGGGAGTGTGCTGTGGTCTTGGACTGGAACTAACAGCACTGCTGAGCAGCTCTGGCAGATAGCTGAGGTTCTCATTTGTGTTAGATATTCCCTGTCTAGAGTTAAGCTTAGGTTTAGTGTTTGAGTTAGAGCAAGTTTTGGAAAGACCAAAGTTCTAAGAGCCCCATGTACTGGTGGATATGTCAGGGCCCATGAACTAAGGTGATGTTGGCAGAGGCCAATCCCAACCTTGGGCTTTGTGTGTGTTCTTTGGCCAGAAGTGAGGATGGATCAGCTCCTGGGATTGAAAAGCTTGACAGCTTAAAAATCATTTGGTATTTCCCCTTTAGCAAGTGAAGCTGGTGATGGGACTTGAGCACTTGAGGGTTGGTCTCTTCTCCCAGGCAACCAGCAGCAGGACAAGAGGGCACAGACTCAAGCTCTGCCAGGGGAGGGTTAGGTTGGATATTAGGAAAAGATTTTTTACAGAGAGAGTGCTCAGGCATTGGAATGTGCTGCCCAGGGAGGTGGTGGATTCACCATCCCTGGAGGTTTTCAGGCTGAGACTGGATATGGCACTTAGTGCCATGGGCTAGTGACCACAGTAGAGTTGGATTTGCTGATTGTGGAGGTCTTTTCCAACCCAGTTGATTGTATGATTCTATGATTAATATATATTCCTGGTTTTCAATGTGTCTTGTGGTACAAGCTACTTCCACTCATACTGTATAGTAGTTTTCCCAGGTTCACTTCCATGTCTTATGGCACACTCTGTTCTGCCTTTTTTTCAGAATTTCATTTTTTTAATTCAGGGTGTTGAAAACAATTAGAGGTTTCTACTATTAAATCATATAACTTTCCCAATTTAAAAGGGAAATGTTTTCATTTTGGAGATAGATTATTCTTTAATAAAAGTCTCTACAACTGCTCTTTTGGTTGTTTTGTTGCAGGGATTTGGGGATAATTTTAAGATTACTAATGGAATTAGTAATGCTAATATGTCATGATTTTGTAATGGGCTGGAAATAAAAATTAGCTTTCCTGTGTGGTTTTTGTCTGGATGGAGACAGAAGTTGGCAGATTCATCAGGGTGGATTTGTGCTCTTAAAGATGAAAAAGAGTGTGTTTACAGCCATGTAGTGCCCTAGTCCAGGCCCAGCAAATATTGCCCTGGTTGGTTCTTTCAGATTTCAACTGTGGTGCAAAAACCTCTGGGTCTGACCTGTGTGTGTTTCTGCTCAGGCTGTGGGAACAGGACAGAGGAGCTGCTAATCCTTCAGGACTGACTTTCTGCCAGCCAAGCCATTAGCTTAGCACCAATGTTTCTGGACAATATTAAGATGATTTCATGTATGTGCTTTTATATGATATGTATGTAAGTAACAGATAAGAAGCAGCAATATTTATTGTCAGAAGTGGATGGTTTCCTTATGGCTCTTTTTTTAGCCACTGCTGCAAAAATTAGTCCCTTTAACAATCTCTTGCTAGTAATAGGAATTCATAAGATCTAATGTCATGTGAAAAAGTGCTTTATTTTGCTGGATTTCTTTGACTGCTTGCAGAATTAAATTAAGTAACCACAAGCTAAGGCAGCCACAGTAAAGACCTTTAGAAAACAACCTTATCTTGCATGAGATGGGTGAAAATATAGTTCAGCATCTTCAATAGAAACGATGCCTTGTGGAATTGCAACTCAGAACCCACTAGGTGCATCAGTGATTTCTCATAAACTACTTTGATCTGAATGCACTTTGATTCTGAAATGGCCACAGGATTAGATCTTGAGTAGCTAGGCAGCTGCAAGCACCCAGAAAGGGAAGTGGCAGGCATTTTAGTGGGATTTTTATTATTATTATTATCAGCCTTATTTTTCCAGTGGGGTGACAGCAAACAGCTCTTGCAGTTTCAAACACATCCACACCGACACAGAATGAAAGTGATTTGAGACATTGTGTGGAATGGTAAAATCCACATTTCTAAAAGTACCTTTCACTTCAAAAAAAAAGTGATGCCACAGTTTCAATCCAGAATAGAAGTTTATGTAGTTTAGGGAAGGTTTTTTTTTCTTATACCTCTTCCGAACTTTATGGTAGAAATATCTGTCAAAACCAAATCTTTTGTGAAGGAATTGCTCTAACCCTCATGACTGTTGGTGGTGACTTGTAGATATAAAAGTTATATTTACTTCTGCAGTGCATGGCATAATAGCAGAAGTCACTCTCAGAAGTGCTCCCAGGGTTCTTCTAGAATGTCATTTCAATGGCACTTAGACAAGAACAAAGTTTTCTTAAAACGCTTCTGTGTAATTACTTGGGGGGAAAGGTTGTTTCTCTAATCCCTGGAGTTTGGTTGCATGAAATGTGTCATGAGAGTGGGTTGCAAATAGGCTAAATTTCTGCTGTTCTTATCTCTTACATTAAGCAGAGGAGTAGGAGATAAAGGGATATATAATTCGTCACGGTCCAAACTGAGTCGAATAAAACATAAAAAAAATAAAGAAAAAATCTGTACCCATTTGTTGCTGAAGAAATTGCATGGGAGAAAAGGAAAAGGTCTTGCTGATTGTACAATATTGTTACCCAGAACAGCTCTCAGCATCATCTCTGGTGTCTTGCTCTGTGGGATTTGAAGCCTTATTTGTTAAATTTATTTATTTTGCCTCTGCTACTATTTTAATATCCTATTCTTT